TATTTTCGAAATCAGCGTCCCAAAATCAATCAAACCAATCAAAACATTTTGAAAATCGCGAAAAAAGCCGTTTTTTTTTAAAAAAAATCGATTTTGCAACCAAAGATTTCGATTTTTCGCAGGGCGTATGTGGATTTATCCAAAATAGATAGCATTTTTAAATCAGCATCCGAAAATCTTTTGGAATCAGTCAAAAAAAATCCAAAATAGCGAAAACAAATCTATTTTTTTGCTAAAATTCCGATGTTGCAACCAAAGTTTTTGTTGTTTTTCAGTGATACACGCCCTGAAAGCTCGTCAACAGATTTTCGTCCTTGGCCTATAAAAATCATCCAAAAATTTTTGTCCAATAAGTTCTTGATCATAAATTTCTTTTAGTATAGGGGACCGATTTTATGGTTCCTGTTCTATAAGTGCATAAGTACCTGTAATAAGAATAGATATTCATTCTAAGGATATACTTTAAAATAAGATTATTTGTTACTTAATACCAGACTAGTAACAATAGGTAAGCTTTGAATATTTTATTTGAAAATAAAAACCACAAAAACTTAGTGAAAAAATAAAACATTCGAATAATTTGTGGGTAAGTACAGCCGAATAGTTTACTCATTTTATGTTAATTGAATAACTTGATACTCGTATCATTTCCAAAGTTTTAAAAAAAGCTCCTAAAACAATCCATGGATAGAATTCATGGATTCAACTTCAAATAAATCATTTATTATAATCGAATAATTTGATATCATCACTGTAGTTATACCAAAAGCATGAATAGCAGTCTTTGCTTTTAATATGGTTTATGATTTATAAATCTAAATTTTATCTATTTTTTACCAATATAAATAAATTAAAATGCCTAGAACAAAATTTTAAAGTCGTTTGATAAAATGTACACAGACACAAATTTGCGTTCCAATTAAAAATTATACGAATTTTTAGTACCCAACTCTATGTACTAGTTTGTACTAAATTCTAGTGAATTTGATATAGTTTTTACTAATGTAAACAAATTAAGGTGCAAACAAATTTCCGAAAAGAAAATTAAAAGTTATTTGAAGAAAGTAAAAACGTTTAAATTTTGCGTTTCAACTGAAAATTGTTCAAAATTTTGATATGCAAGTATATAAACACAATTTATGCTATTTGTTAGTAAATTTTATCTAGTTTTACTAGTATAAACAAATAAACATGTTCTGAACATAGTTTTGAAGTTATTTCACAAAATGTAAAAAAACATTACCTATAGCCACCTATAGCCAATTATCAAACTCAAATCTGCGTTTCAACTACAAATTATTCAAAATTTTAATATAAAAGTGAATATAACAATATACATTAAATTCTAGCAAATTTTATCTAGTTTATACTAAACTAGATGACCCGACAGACGTTGTTTCTGTACCCATGTCTACAATTTTTAATATAATATACTAATATTTTACCGTTTACCTAAAAATAATAATTATTATTACCTGAAAATAATAATTACTCTTCACGCCAAATGCATATACATTTATAACATGAGCGATGTCAAAAGTAGAACTGCTTTAAATAAATGATGAGTCTCTATTCCGACACTATATTGGAAATTGAAGTCTTTTAAACGGTATACATAACCATAACCACAACATAACACTGATACTTGTTGGATGTAGGATTAAATTAATTTAATTTTTTATTATTTAAGATATCCAAATTGCATCTTAAACTTCTCCTAATCGATATCGTGAGTGCCGAATTGTATGTATTCATCTCTATTTCCCATTTGTTGTTATAAGTGAAATTTTTTACGAATTGTGGATGTCAAAAATATTGTAGAAAGATAAAATAGATGCAAAGAAATTATATATTGAAAAAAATATTATATTGAAAATGTAATATCCGAATCTTTTGTTGGCGCCCCCTAAGGCATGCACTCGTATTTTGCGCATGCATCGCATTAAAGGTAGGACCGGCCCTGATTGATACTTAATTTCATATTTTAAGTGAACTAATTTGTAATATTTGTTCATATATATATCATTGAATCTGCCATATATATACTGTATTTTATATTATTTTAATTTATGACACATCTCAGTTGTCTTTCGGCAATAATAATGTAGAGATTTCATTTTTCTTATTCATTATCATAAATTTATTGTACATATTCTAATATTGGTTCTAGGTTCAGAAGTCAATTGAAATATTTGGCAGATAATAGCATTCATTTATTTTCAATGCACTTTATAATCACATACATCTTAGGAAATTTCTTTAACAAACTTCAGAAAGATTTACCAAAATCCGAATAATCGTTAAGGAGGAGTATACAAGCGCTGGCAATTTAATATGAAATTTATATAATAGCAATAAAGCTCCAATTGATTCTGTTTTAGTTAGAAAACGTTTGTATGAGAAAAAGAAAAGGGCTGTTTTTAGGGTTTTTCTGGCAATTATTCGATTTTCTCTCGTCGTTAAAACCATCCTTGTACTTCAACAAACATTTAAAAAAAAGAATTGGCCATATTGGTCCAGCCGTTTTTGAGTTATGCGCTTACCAACACATTTTGCGATCCATTTTCAAATATTTGACAAAATGTAAAAAAATGTTCCAAACTCGCATATTGAATGCAATTGAATAAAATTTGTTTGATAAAATCGGGGGATAGTAGTCCATGAATTCAATATGGATATAACCATCATTATAATGATTCATAAATCTTAAACAGCATAATTATAATGTTAGTGTTATTTCGCTAAAATCATTTTCTGCTTTTGAATGATATTTTAAAGTATTCCAATGTTAAAAAAAATGTTGGTAATTTAATTTTGTGCAAATTTTTTTAAACAAATTTTTTATTTTATCAATTAAATTAATTAATTAATTTAATTGAAAATGGTACATATGATTCAAAAGAAAAGGCATTACTTACAAAGAGCATTTAAGAATTTTGTCCCTTTTATGATGTAGTATTGAAATATTGATAACAACTGCACACTTTTAATAAATATTATTAACACGACAATTAATACACAAATATTTGTTTTCAAAGAAAACATTCTAAAACGTATTTTCCTTGTATAAAAACACACCGTTTGTTTGAACAATGAAAAAGGTATTTTCCTCTTTTGAAATATTTCTGACAATGAGCAGTTTTTGAAAAAGTAAGAAAAAATAAACTAAATGCGACCTGTTCTACTTGATTATTTTAAAGATATATATCCACGGATTTTTTCACAAGTTTTTTGTGGTTTTATACTCAAATAAAATATTTAATAATTAACACATTTGAAAACACATTTGGAAATAAACAGCTGTCAAACAACTGTCAATTTTGACGTTTGACATAACCTTAAACAATATACTCACTTTTGACGTTTAAAGTAACAAATTCATGTATTAATCATTGTTTTGGACTTGAATGAATATCATAATGTGTTGAAACAGATATTTGTTTAGAATTATTAGCCCAACGTTTGCCAAAATATTTAGAAATACATAAACCTGAACCGAACCGACCACTTTGCCTTAAAAATAAAATAAATAATATTTATTTTGTACTTACCAATCATTTTCACAAATACACACACTTCCCCTTTAAATCTATTTAAATTTATGACTTGTACATTTATTATTATTATAAAGAAACAACTTGTTCAACCAAGATCCAGGCAGCACAGACTGTTGATATATTTTGAAAATATTTACATCACAAATTGAACACAGAGCATGAACATATATTTATATAGACTGGTACATAGTTTTTAGTATCAACATTTTAGCAGTATTTAGTTTGTATCAATTACATTAAGTTAATTAGGAAAAACATTTAAATAATTACACAATTATAAAAATATAATAATTAAATAAAACTAATATAAAAAACCTATATAGAAAACTAATTGAATAAAATGTAAAAAATATTTCTAACATCCCTCTCGACATGGATTACTTACATGCAAAAATGTATATGATAGAAAAATAATTTAAATTCGCAACAATAACAACAAACTCACGATTGAATAAATAAAAGTAACATTTTGATACAAGCATATATTTTTTGTCAGTCATATTTTGTATTTCGTATTCGTACATCGTTATATTCGTTCGTTTCACTTAATTTATCAAAACAGAACCAGGCGTAGCTGATGAAAGTACCCAATCACTTATTTACGGAGAGAGTCGTTCGCTGAATACGCGACGCGCCTCGAAGACATTAGCTAGATGTAGGTTTACTCCTGGAATTGTATTTGTTCCGTCTTCATATTTATGCTTATTGCAGACAGAAGATATTGAAATTATTTCAATAAATCGTACAAAAATTTATACAGATAATTTCTTGTGCGGAAACTATCTAGTTAATTTCAAAACTTGGTTTTTTAAGACGTACCTACCCAGATTCAATTCACTTGTTGTTAGATTAGGTTCATGTTAATTTGTTATAAATAAAATATTGTATACACAAACATTTTTTTTTATTTTTTGTCAGTTTGGATATTTTTAGTATTGACATTAATTTACCTTTATCATCTAAATTTTCTGCGGCATATTTTTTAATTTGATTTTTCTATTGTAATTAATCTTTTCTTTCAACCAAATTTGTGAGTATTTGAATATCATGCTTAAAGTTTTTAAAATGTTTTAAATATTATGAAAATAGCAAAACTATTAAGCTTTTATAAATCAAAAAAAAAAAATTATGACTTTATTTTTTACTTTTCTTCAAAACAGTCCAGAATTTCAATGATATTATAAATATTTAATTAAACATGCTTATATTTGAATGTAGATCAATCGAATTAGATTCAATAGTGATTCCTTTTATTTTCATCTTCATGCTTATTGCAGTTAGATTTTATAAGCTTATTTGAATAAATTGAGAAGGTTTTATACAAACATTTTGAAACGAAAACTCTAAGTTAACTATTTTGATAACTCGGTAATTTATAACATGTACGAAAATTTAATTCCCAAAATTATTACTTATTTTTCTCTCTCATGAATTGAATTTGTGTGCATTTGTTATATACAATTATTGTTATGTACAAAAGAATTTAGTAAATTTTGACAACATTTGAATGATAAAATTTTATTTTAATTAACATAATTATCACATAACATCTAAGAAGGTGCTATCTCACGCAGTCAAATAATATATATATATATATATAATATATATATATAATATATATATATATATATATATATATAGCTGAATGTACTGTGTACAGTTTGCTATGAAAAATAAAAAAAAAAAAATAACATGATTAAAAAAATGTATTTAGCCGAAATTTATCTTGCATATTTTGTATTTTTGTTTTAGTATAATATTTAATTTTATACCAAAATTTATTTGAATTTTGAAATTTCAGAATATTTAACCCTTTGCATTCGCAATTTGCAGAATCGATATGTATTTTGCCCACAGAGCAGCGGCATCCGAGTGGAAAGGATAATATTAATAATATAAATAATATTGATAATATTAATATATTGAGTGGTAAGGGTAATATTGTAATCATCAATAACACATCAGGAAAATTATTTTAAAAACGTAGCAAATATTTTAGGTTCTATTTTCACAAAAATATTTGTAAATTCATAGTAAATATTTGGAGCCCTTCATTTTATTCCAAGCAATTTTTTAATTATTGTAGGTTGCTAATTTGATTACTATATCAATATTTTTAATCTAGTAAAATAAATCTTATATTTGAATGTAAACCAAGCAGATTATGTGGAATGTGATGAACGAAGAAACGCCGTCCGTATCTCACGCTAAAATTGATTCGGTTAGAGGCAAAAGCGCCAGAGCGAATCTGCGAATGCTGAAAATGAATCACATTTTATTATATAGAACAGATTCTCCCTCATCGAGGCTTCTTGCTTGACGTACGGATACCCTCTAGGCAAGTCGGAAAATTTATTTACCGAAGAGGACGTAATTTAGGAGAATTTTTTTACTTGGTTTTTCTTTCGTATTAAATCTTCACAGTACCTTTCGATTCTGGCATTTAGGTGATTAATAACGGTCGATATTGATGTAACTAGGAGTAAATTCGTTTCATGTATCTATATACGTTTTCACGGTTTTTATTCCAAAACCAAAATGTTAAATTAAAATTAAAACTTTGCCTAATTAAATTCAACATATATTCGCCTTAATAAAATTTTAGATATAATAGGATAAAAAAACATTCATATAAATTCAGCAAAATTGTTGCTACAGATTTTTTTTATTAAATATTTAACCGATAAAAACTACAGTAAAATAGTATTTCATTTATCCCGCGTTCATACATGGACTATTTTCCCACAAAGAACCCCGTGGAAAATATTCAATATGCAAGCCTATGTGTTTTATTTTTTTAATAAAAATCTCTCATGATCCTCTCGCGTACGAGTCTAGCCATTTTCAAATCCATTTTCCATATGTTGTACGACGATATTTATATGGGAAATCGTATGAATAATAAAATATCTGGGACCTTTTCATACAAAAGGGGCTGAAACCGCATGTTCGACGCAATATGCAAAACTAAAACTTCAACAATCGATTCAAGTGTCTACACACAATACAGTCGTTGAAGGAAATATCTTTTAACAACTTATTGTACAGAATATCTGTTGGAAAGTTTGATGGCACGTAGCGGGTGTATGCTATTGAAAACTTCCTTGCAATGCGCGTCGTGAATTTTTCATATGTCCTGTTCTATGCAAGATAAACCGCACCGGGTCATTTTATCACGTTTTATTTGGATTAGTAGAGAGGAAGCTTGGGTACGATTGATCAGAATGCATTATTTTTATATTTATTAATATGATCTTGGGCATAAAATCATCTTTATATATAACATTTTCGACATATTTTCTTCGATTAGTGATAGGCAACGAATGTTGTATTGGAAAAAGCATAATCACATTTTATATTCACATTTTGTATTAATCTTTAGGTTAAATTATATAAAATCGGTTGCACAGAGCAATATAATAAAAATGGAAGGCAAGTGTTTTGTTGTTTTCAAATTATATATAAATATTCTATATAATTCAATCTTAAAAATAAATAACTCATAATCTCATCTAATATTTTATATACTTAATTACCATTAATATATTATTTATACAAATTTTAAATAAAAAATTAATTTACTATGTATGTAACTTGAATAATTACTAAAATTTCATTTTAATAATAAAA